CACTGTAAATCATCTAGACACTGGGGGCAGCAGTAGCTCAGGTGGTAGAGCGGGTTGCCTCATGATCGGAGGGTCATGGGCTCGATTCCAGCTCCCACCAGGGGTATCCTGCTGCTGTGTCCTTGGGCAAGACACTTCACCCAACTTACCTGTGTTAGTGGTGGTCAGAGGGTCCGACGGCGCCAAATGGCAGCCTCGTCTCTGTCGGACCTCCCCAGGGCGGCTGTGGCTACAAGTAGCTTACCATCACTAGCAGTGTGTGAATGTGAGTGTGTGTGAAAGCGACTTTGGGTGTCTAGAAAAGCGCTATATAAGTTCAATGCATTATTATTATTATTATTAGAAGGCTCTGCATCCTAGCACAAGACAATGTCTCCATTTTATAGAACACTTGGTCAACAGCTCCTGGGTCAGAAGAACACACACACCTTTCTCATTATAATGAGTCACAAGCCCTCACGGATCCCTCAGCAGTTAGCTGCAGAAGCTGACAACTGAACCCAACATGCTGTAGACAGATGGGAGGAGGTGAGGGAGAGAACAAGAGGGGACAGAAGACCGGCGTGAGGACATGCTAATGTTTGTAGGAAAATGTTTTGTGAATGTTTAAAATATTTTTAAAAGTCAGTTTTTCTTCTTTATTTAGTGTCCATGTTAGCATATTTAGCTGTTGCTAAAGTTGTTGTAAGATTAGCTTCAAACTAAATAAATAAAAACACCAGAAAACACTTTAGTTACTGAAGAAGTGTGTGTGTGTGTGTACGTGCGTATGTGTGTGTGTGTTGTGTGTGCGTGTGCACATCAGTGGCGGCTCCAGAAATTTTTTTCTGCAGGTGCTATGAAGGAGCTAGTCTTTTTACTGAGGGTGCTATGAAGGAAGAGGTCATGTGCACCCGTTGTTCTCTAAAACACCTTCAACACTAGCAGATACACATGCGTGCACAACACCTGAAACAGTCATTAATATACATCATAAACATATGAACAATCGCTGACTTTTCCATGAAATCATAAACACACACAGCCACACAGAAAACCATCTATAGTGTTGCAAGGTTAGCTAATGTTAGCGTTAGCATTTCCAGCGGCAAAACCTTCGACTGCTGCGGCGGTTGAGGGTCGACTCTCTTCATCCAGATCCGTAGGTTTTTGTGGGTCTGAGATCACTTCCAAAGATTCATTCGTTTCTGACTGAACCCGTGGAAACGTGGGCAACAAAAACCGATCCATTTTACCACTAGCTCTACCTTTCACTCGCAGGTGGAAAATGAGGTCAAAGGTTAACATCAATTTCCTGTTGTGGTTTAAGTTTTTACTATCTATATGATAATTTACTGATTATTTTTGTTTTGTATGTTAAATATTATCACATCCACACGTTAAATTGAAATTAAATTGTAAAAAAAAAAAAAATCTAATATTTACTTGGGGGTCTATGGCTAATCCAGGGTTAGCTATAGCGCCCCCTAGCACCCCCCTGGCACCGCCACTGGTGCGTGTGTGTGCGCGTGAGTGTATGTGTGTGTGTGGTAACCATGACATAGAGAAGCTGATTTGTGCTCACTAGCAGGAGGATAGAGAGCTCTTCTCTCAGCGAGCCACGCTCACATACTTGATGTTTCTGAAGAATGTCTTTGGTCAGACTGAAAATCATCTCGCCTCATCTGTGTTTGTGGACAAACACACTCTCACATGCATGTAAACAAAGCGAGGAGTGTTGCAGGTTTATGGAGGATGGGTTTGTGTGGACTGTGCGTTTTTTTTTCACTGGCGTTAGCAAACAGACTAGATGGAGGGTGGACCAAACCGGGCCCCAGCCTGCGACCGTGGCCCCGTCCCGTCAACAGGAGATCTGTTCTACATCCTCATAACAACCATCCCCATGGCAACTCCTGTGTTGGCTGTGTTTTGAACACAAACTGCTTCTTGCTGTCTGTTGTTCCCCCTGCCTCTCCACAGCCCTAAATGGCTACACCTCTGCGCTGTAGCGCGCCTCCTGTTGTTTGCTGCTAATATTCCTGTTTTTGTCCTTTTTGTTAACAGGAGTGAATGTTTTTGTCTTAAGTTAAAGGTGATCCTGTTGCCTTTTTAAAAAGCTATGGCGTAAGAGTTTATGTGGGTTAACTAAACAAGCTTATCAGACCTTTCGCTGGTTTAAACCCATGTAAACACTCTTTACGTCAGCACATGTTGTGTGTGCATACACTCCATCCTACAGGCAGGGAAACCATAACCCCATCAGATTTTGTTGTATTTGTGTCTAAACCGTGAGCGTAAATCTGCAACTAGCCAGATTAGTACTTACAAAGAAATAACAGCAACCTATTGCTGAATGTCTGCTGCTCTAAGTTACCGATCAGTTATGATCTGAGCTTTACGGTCTGAGGTTAGCTCCAACATCATTAGCAAACCATCAGCTGCAGAAGTACATCTTCTCATTTGTTAGCATTGCAGCATTTTAAATTAGTGATGCGTGCTATTTCTGAATGGTTGTTGGGAGTTGGAACACAAAAACCCAACCGACCCAAGGCCGGAGGTCACAGCAGGTGACATCGTTGTGCGTCGTAGCTGCGCCGCTAAGGATGTTGATCACTGGTTCTGACAAAGTCAGGGAACACCACCAGTGTGTTTTAGCTCTTGAACCACAACCACCCACTGTAGAGTTTGGCAAGCTATTTGAACATATATTAAGTGGACTGGAAAAGTATTTCAGATGTCTCCATTGTTTCTGGTAGAAATGAACATTTCAGACATCCTTAAAAGCCCTCCTGCTGCTGCTGCTGCTGCTAGTGTTTCTGCTGTGATGGCTGTGTGGTGTTTCCATGGACTGAGCTGCTTGTTGGTCTCATTAGGGACATGGTAGTTGTGATGAGTGGAAACAAACCCCGGGATGAAACATCTGTAGTGGACATCCTCCGTGAGGGAATGGGAAGTATTGTTGGATTTTTTTTTTCTTTTGTAAATTTTAAAAGACTGAATTTATAAAATCCTGCGTGAGAAAACACAGCCTGCACTTCCTGTCTCACCAGTAGAAGAGATGTGTGTCTCATCTAACCGAGTCTCGCTCGTCGGGACTAATCTGCCACGGCCGGTCTCTGCTGAAGGTTGTATCAGCATGATTCTGTCTGATGAGCAGCCCGACCCGAGCCAGATATTCATCTCTTTGGGTCGATACCACGTCTATCTCTGACTCTGTCCTCTACCCAGATAGAGTCCACACTCAAACGTAATGGTGTGATGTGTTGTTTTACTTGTGTGTGTGTGTGTGTGTGTGTGTGTGTGTGTGTGTGTGTGTGTGTGTGTGTGTGTGTGTGTGTGTGTGTGTGTGTGTGTGTGTGTGTGTGTGCGCACGCGCCCTGTAACGTTCTTTAAAACTCAGCGTAGAGAAACCCGACCGACCGGCCTGTCTGTCGCTGCCCACCACAACACAAGAAGGAAGGTGACTTCGGCATTCCAGGGTGTCTCTTTACTGCAGGAAGTCACCCAGAGACATGAGCCAGCACTTCCTGTCAGATTACACAGCACCTTCCATAACAGCCCGCCTCTTTCAGAACCGCTGGCTCGGCCTGTCCTGGGCCGGCTCGGCTGCAGACTATTATCTTGCAGGACAAACCAGCAAGCAGCAGCACTTTTAGGGGGTAAGGTGGTTTAATTACACCCCCGAGGGAGGAGCGGGGTTGTCTCTTCCTGAAGGCAGCTTGTGCTCTGAGACTGGATCACTGTCTGCAGATCCTGGATGACGAAGCCAGGAGTCGATTAGCTTTGGTTCCGGTCGTCAGCAAGGGGAATTTTCTTTCCCACATTTCTTTCCTCTCTCTCAGCATGTTCGCGTCTCCTGCAGCTCCAGTATCCGTGTGTGGCTGCAGCTGTTACTCCTCATAACTCACCCAGGAAGCATGTAAGACGGCATTCTGGGAAATCTACCATCAAAACAAACCGCCTTTCATTCAGTTAAAGTTTCAATCATCAGCGGGACCTTGCTGCCTTTGAGATTTGCTATGTGGGCATAATCACTGAAGAAAGGCGTGGGTCGTTTAAACAGATTTAATTTAAACAGAAACGCTTTCTGTTCAATCTGAACTGAATTAAACCCTAAGTAGGTTTGATCTGACTTAATCCCAGTCCCGGGAGTTGCCGGAGCATTTTCTTCCACCGTTTGTGCCAGGTGATTTAGGGACGTCATGGTGGGGCCTGTCTCGGTCTCTGTGGAATACGCCAGCTTGTTGTTATTTTTCTTGAACAAGAAGGAAGCAGGTCTTGGAGCACGATGATGATGTTGATGTTTACAAAGAGCCCTGCCTGCAGGGTCAAAGGTCCCAGCGCTGCTTTTAGCTCCCAGGTGTGCAGAGTGTATATCCCATTGCTGTGTAAGTCCATATTGTACAATTAAACAAGTACATCTGCTCTGCTAAATCCAGCTGGATGGCCATACTGTTGTTGTTGAAACAGGAAGTGCACAGAACTAGTGTGATGTCATCATGAGGGGCTGCTGGGATTCCCCTGAACTTTATACTAAACATCCTGTATCCTGTCAGAGCTGCTGAAACAGCGTCTCTTTACTGTAACTTTCCTGTAGAAATAACACTTCTCTAATCAGGTTTTACTGTTTGTATCACTAAAATATTTAAGGACTTCTAAAACCACAAGCTGCATCAAACACAGGGACAGCAGTCGAACACTGGTAGTTGCTTGACAGTGGGTTGGCTCATGATGGAGTGGCTCTGAGCTTAACTGGCTGCTGCAGCAGCTCTAGTGATGCAGGTTGTCTGTGGGCTGGAATAAAGGGAACGTTTTCCTCCAGAGTCTGGATCTGTGACCCTGTTCTTCCTGTTTAGTCCCTGTTAGCAGTGTGATTAACCTTGCCTTGGACCTGGTTTTTGAGTGAAACCTTGAGATCACCACAAACTGAAAACACAACTGACACGTTTTTCTCTGCAGATCTGAGGTCAGGTCTGAGGAATCAGCTCCTCTAATTGTGTTTCTCTCCTGCTCCTCCTCAGATGTGCACCCCAGCCAACACGCCAGCGACGCCTCCCAACTTCCCCGATGCGCTGACCATGTTCTCCCGACTGAAAGCGTCTGAGAGCTTCAACGGCGGCGGCGGCAGCCCCATGGCCGCCACCATGGCCACCTCACCCCCTCCCCCTCAGGTCGGTGGCTGGGGGGTCCCACCAAATGTACCTAACGTGCCGCAGCCTCAGCAAGGACTCTGGACTCAGGGGCAGCCCCCCACACAGCCCTGCCCCACCTGGCCCATGGGTGTGAACCCACACTCTGGCGCCGAGCAGAAGGCTAGCGTAGCCATGGAGGCAGAGAGATGAAGGGCCGCACAGGACTGAAAAAGGCCCCCCTCCAAGCTCAGGGAGGGAGGGGGTGAAAGTGGGGCAGAGTGGGAGGCAATAATGGGTAGGAATGAGTACGGGCCTTTTTTTCTTATCCCAAAAACACCCGATGAGACGGGAAGGCAGGATCTACGCAAACCAAGAAAACCTGATCATGGACGATTAAAGAAGAGAACCAATGCAAAAGTCAATCCAGAACCCAAGAAACACACACACACACACACACACACACACACAGTAATAAGACAGCAGCTGAGGTCTTTGTTAGTGTTTCATGAATAATAACTTAGATAAAGAGAATTATTATTGAACTTAAAGTAATTGTCACGCCCAAGGATTCTCTGTGACGTTCAAGGCAGCAAACATCAATTTTTCCCTTAGTTTGACTTTTTGTTCCCCGCCTTCTGGGCCGGTTCCCTCTGAACAGCCGCTCTTCTGTGTTTCTGTGCTGCATGAAGAAAGAGGAAGCTGCGATGCAGCGTTGTTTCATTTTTATACTTTTTAAACGGACTCCGAGTCCATCATGTGGACGCATGTGAGCTGGTGGTCCGTTCGTAAGCAGAAACACAAATATACGGTCCCTGTTGTATAATCACGCACACACACACATTAGGGTTTAGAAGGAACAGCTTCATATTGTCATCCCCATCGTCAAAGGCGGGACTTTTCTTACCTCACCTGGTGGTCACCTGACTTCTTTCAGCCAATCAGGGATTCTTAAACCAACTGTTGCCGACAGGACATGTTTTTAAAGTTTGTGTTTTGTTGTTTTCTTAACGGCAATGGCCACTCTGGTTCACGCCAACGGTTTCTGTTCCGGACACCATGTTCTAAACCCGGACTCTGACTACCGCTGTGTAGTTTTTTCTGAAGATTTGGATTCTTACGAGTAAAAACTAGAAGTTCCTGTTTCATATTGTTTATAATGCTGATTTTTGTTTAGAGCTCTAGGGAAGAGACGGGGATGTGGGGGTGGGGGCTTCACTTGCAGCTAAAATGTCTTTGAAATCAAACAAATATAATGACTACTCCATCTTTTTAAATCGAATCGACACTTGGCATGACATGTTCACAGCATCTTTTGTAGCAAGCGAACGTGAGGGGTGGATAAAAATAGAAAAGATGGGTCGAAGACAAAGTTGGACCGGTGGGACAGACCATGTGTGATTTGGGGACACTAGACTCTCAGAGAGCAGCACACCCTCAGATAGTGTTCTGGTGGGGGTCTCCCCAGTCCTGCTGAGGGACAGATTTAGGGGAAACCCTGATATATGGCAATATTTGAGACACAGGTTTGGCCCTCTTTGTTCTGAGTTCTTTCAATTATTTTTACATGAATCAAAGAGTCTAAGAGGAATATTTTGAATAACCGAGGGTTTTTTTTTTTGTTAAAGAACAAAAATGATGATTAGAAAATCGTGGATATGAGAATAATATGAAAATAACCAACATCCTCTTTTAAGTTTTACCATTTTTAGACTGGACTAAGGTTTGAAGTCACTCTTTATTTCTCCACACGTCATGACTTTATTTGGATAAATCAGAGTTTCTGGGTGGGCCTGTTCCTACATGGTTTCTCATGTTAGTTTCCCTTGTATGACTGTATGAGACCATTCCCACAATATTTGTGGACTACCTGATAATTAACTTATCATTTTTGTGAACCTAAATAAATATTGTATGTCAACCTACTGGGAATCATTTACTGGAGTGTGAATAACCTGCACCATGCTGTTTGGCCTCTTGATCATAAAACAATAAACTACAGCAGTGGTGTTAAAAGGACAGAAGACAGGTTCTGTCTCACCTGTCAGAGACGGCACTTCAACAGCATCAGGCTGGAAAAACGGATCAAATCTGACAAGTCACATGTCTGACAGGTGCTAAGTTTCTGAAACTGGTTGCCAAACTAATATGTGTGTTTGAGTTTGATTTAGGCAACAATGTGAGAACTTGTCAGTCATGTCAGACTTGACTAATTTCTCCAAACTGATCCTTGTTTCAAAATGTCCAAACAACCATTTCAAGTGAGCAAAGTAAGAAGATGAATGTGTTCTAATGCTGTTGTGTAAAAAGTTCCTCCATCTTTCTTTGCGGCCCTTAAACGCTTCTGCTGCACCGCATGGGAGGGCAGGGGATGAAAACCCAAATGCGAGAAAACGGGGTGAAAAGCAGCTTTTGGAACGTAGACTTTATTCCTGCAGCCGCTGCTGTCCTCGCCTCCCTCGGTCCGCGGCTCCTCACGTATAAACAAAAACAAATACCAGCTGTCCTCATGCACGTAATCGCTCTTCAAAACACGCACACCCACACATGCCAGTGGTACAATGGTGGCGGTAACGGAAGGGGGTCGGAGGGTTCACTGTACCCTTATCTCACCCCCGACACACACACACACACACACACGGGAAGCAAAGTGGATTGCCTGTAGCTGATTGTGTGTACCAGGCTTTCCGCTGCTTTGAATGTGAGGAGTTTCAGCAGCTTGGCATCAGCGCTGCCATGCATGTGAAGATAATGAGGCCAATAAACCCGGTGCTGGTCCAGAGAGCTGGACGACGTAACCCAGGGAAGGCTGTAAATCTCTAATTATCTCATCATAAATAAAAACTCCACATAACCTCACAGCTTTGCTATCACTGCTGCCAGTGTGGTTTGGATTTTTTTAAATTATTGTTCCTTTAAACAAAATGGTCATTCAAACGGCATCTTTTCAGCATCCAGAGCACAGTTCAGTTCGTCCATGCTTCTGTGTGAGGTCACAGGAGGGAGTGGAGAGAGCCCAGCAGGACAGATGGAACAGCCCCCTCTCCTCTTCATCACCTCGTGTGTAAATCAGCAACAGTTGAACTGTTGAGTTTATATTATAGCTCCATTTTGATTTGCAAAGAATGGACTCATGTCTCCATGGAAACCTGCTGATTTTCTTCTGCTTGACATCAGTGGGAGAGAAGCTGTTGTCGAGGTCAGGGCTGCTCGATTTTGGGGGAAAGACATCCCTGCTGTTATTTTATGATCGCTGCAGTTGAAAAACAATCAATTTTTCACTCTTTCTTATATTGCAGCCATTTGCTAAAATCAATTAAATTATTTTTGTCCTCATTAATGAACACACAGCACCTCGTAGAGACAGAAAAACACAGAATGATAGAAATTTCTGCAGATTTATTAAAAAAGACAAAGAAATATCACATGGTCCCAATACTCAGACCCTTTGCTCAGTATTAAATACAAGCACCTTTTGAGCTAATACAACCAGGAGTCTTCTTGGTAAAGATGCAACAAGTTTCTTGCACCTGGATTTGGGGATCTTCTCCAGTGTTTAAAATACTTACATCGTTTTTCATGTGAAAATGTCATTTCCCTCACTGAAGTTCATGTTTTTGGTGACATATCCACATGTGAATACGTGGATATGATGTTTTTAACATGTATTTCATACACGTCCCATGTTAATGTTTCCTAATGTGAAATCTACACGTGATGCTCCTGTGGTTTTTCTTAGTGTAGAAACAGAAACATCTGGGTGTTATTGTGAAGCAGCTGTTTGATGTAGAACTTTCACTTCCTCTATAGAGGCTGTTTACAAAAGGCAGCTAATTACAGGAGTTCATTTGGAGACAGGATTGATGAGTAGTGACCACTTAAGTGTACCTCGATGGTTTGGTACCCTTACACCTATAGTAAAGCACCTTTTGTATTGTGGTGACAAACTACAGAGAACATTTGGTAAGATCTACAGGTGACAAATGGACATTTAGCCTACACATGCTGTAATAACTCAAAAATGTAAAACAAGGAAATCCGTGTTGTTTAACAACTGACCTAATGTTGTGGGATGTAGACAAAACAACCCTGCTTTGGGCTTTGTGTAAACATTTAGCAAAAAAATGCAGTACTTAAGTGTTATTTTTCTCTAACAGAGCAGAGTCACAGGCAGTGGTAGCCACAGGACACTGTGCTCTGTGTGGAGGTGGTTCATGCAGCAGGGACAGAAGGACATTCTTTTGACTCCCTAGTCCTCTAGGTGGCAAATATACCTCAACATTGACTGGACAAGCTGCAGCCTTAAAAAATGCTGAAAGGAAAAGCAGACTTAAGCTTCAAATTCCAACAGAGATTCAGTTCTGTTCAAGTAGGTGGGTGATACGCAAAACATACACAATCTGTTTACAGAACTTGATTGTGATTGTGTAAAAACACAACCACGTGATGTTAAATCATCCCAAAATAAAAAAGGATGTAACTGGTAATTAGCTGCCTTATGTTAACATGTGCTAGTAATGCTAACACATGCTCGTAATGTTCATATGTACTAGTAATGCTAACATGTACTAGTAATGCTAACACATGCTAGTAATGTTCATATGTACTAGTAATGCTAACATGTACTAGTAATGCTAACACATGCTAGTAATGCTAACACATGCTAGTAATGTTACGTGCCAACACGTGCTAGTAACGCTAACACGTGCTAGTAATGTTATCGTGTACTAGTAATGCTAGCATGTGCTAGTAATTCTAACATGTGCTAGTAATGCTAACTTGTGCTAATAATCCTAATCCTTGATGTTAACATGTGCTAGTAATGCTAACACGAGCTAGTAATGTTAACATGTGCCAGTAATGTCATGTACTAGTAATGCTAACATGTGCTAGTAATGCTAACACATGCTAATAATGCTAACTTGTGCTAATGATCCTAATCCTTGATGTTACCATGTGATAGTATTGCAAACACGAGCTAGTAATGTTAACATGTGCTAGTAATACTAATAATGCTAACACGTGCTAGTAATGCTAACTCGTGCTAATAATTCCAACACATGCTAGTAAGGCTAACATGTGCTAGTAATGTTAACACGTGAGAGTAATGCTAACATGTGTTAGTAATGCTAACTCGAGCTAATAATGCTAACACCATCGACATTTATACTGGACAATTCATTTCCATAGGCTCCTATGACACGTTTTTGTGCCAAAATGGGAGGTGGCCACCACCGCCATTTTGACTGTGTCACAGGTTCCGTCAAGCCCAGACAATTCCACAAAAGGGAAGAGAGGTGGAGCTGAGGGTGGGGCTGTAAGGCTGGGATCAACTGACGACACCCAGTCGAGCTAACTACAAGCTAACCTGAAGCTAACCCAAAGCTAACACGGAGGTGGTAGTGGTTGTATGAACTAGTTGACTAGTTGACTTCAGTGCTCTGTAGTGACTTTTTATGCCTGTCATCGACTAGTCGCTGTCACGTGATAATGACTGACAAGATGCAGTCCTCGGAAAAGACAGCAGGTAATGAGCCCCTGCGCATCGGGAGGCGAAGGCGACGCGCTGTGCCAGAGAGTCGGTACTGACACCAGCGGTAAAACGGACATTTAACCAAACTGTGACCTTTTCCCTCTTGCAATTTTACCTTCCCCTCACCCCCGGCTCATTTCCTTTAATGTTTTCTGCCTTTTATTTGTGCCTGATGGGGTTGCTGCTGTGGAGCGAGGTGCATCACCTGTTTTGTCCTCCAGTGACGCACCTCACTGATGCGGCCGGCGAGCAGCGAGCACTCCGCTGTTTTTGTGGTCGGTAGATCTTTTAGAACTGCAGTTCAAAGGTAACTCGTAAGGTGAAGATATATGAACCCAGGTAGCAGTTTTTCTTTAGGATTGAGAGGAGATGCAGGAAGATAATAAACAGACAGGACAGAAAAATTATCAAATAAAAGCAAGTTAGTTTTTGTGCCTGGTGGTTGCAACAAACAGACACCATTGAAGGTAATCAGAAGTGAGGAACAGAAAATGAAATAATTATTTTAATGTTTAGAGCAGCAGGAACTCTGAGAGGCTGCAGGCGCATCAGTGAGTTTGCGGCTGCTGCGCAGGGGGAGGGGGGAGAGGGCTGAAGCAGAAACTACCGTTGTTAAAAGAAATGTGTTTAACTTAAAAAATGTGGGCGCAATTTTAATTGTCAAAAACTCCAGCAAACCCACACACATCGGCTGTGAAACAATAGCCTACACTTAGACTGGAGGCAGAGGAAGTTGTTTGAATGTATAAAAGATGCATGTGAATGAAGGGACCACCAAAGAAAGTGTCATAGACACTTTTTGTTTCTGTTCCCATGTTACACTGGTTTTATAAAACACATTGTGCACTAGTGTCATTTTCTATGTCTCACTTCCCTAATATCATCTCATAATATAAGCTGTGTCCTGTAGACTTTTCTTTATGCACATGCCCATTTCTAATTCTGTTTTTCTTCTTCTGTTATTCTCTTTCAGCAAGAAATTAAAACTCGTTTTTCTAAACAGGTTGTTGGGTTATTTTTTATTAAAACCAGTTCACCTTAAGAGAAATCAAATGCACACTTTTTCCCTATCACAGGTGTACATAAAATAACCTGCAGTTATCTGGATGTTACAGTGTTCATATTGTGTTTTTTGTATTTTAACCATCGACATATCTACTGGACAATGTGTTTCCATACATATACTGGACAATGTGTTTCCATATACTCCAATTATAAGTTTTTGAGCCAAAATGGGAGGTGGCCACCACTGCCATTTTGACCGTGTCAGGTTCCGTCAAGCCCAGACAATTCCAAAAAAGGGAAAAGAGGTGGAGCTGAGGGTGTGGCTGTAAGGCTGGGATCAAATGACGACACCCGTCGAACTGAAGCGATGTAGCTACAAGCTAGCCC